GGCTTGATAGTCTAGTTAACAGAAGCTGCAAATACTAATTACTTCTGAAAGCCTGGATTTAAACATTTAGGTTAGAAAACACTGTCTTCAATTTTCCATCAGACAAATTCTGGCATTGATTTTTCATCCAACAGGATGCAACATAACAGCTCATTGTGCTTCTTTTCAGGGAAACAGGACATGGCTTGCTTTTATCTCTATTGGAATATATGGAAGAGAAATGCCAGAGCCAACCAGCCTGCTAACTGAATAGAACTTTGTTAATTCAATGTTAATTAATATCATGGAGGGCAGATCTTAACAGATCTTATTTATATGAGGTCTTATTTATAGTCCTTGAGCTCCAGTTGCCAAATTGTCCCAGAACTTCCCTTTCCCGAGATCTGAACAATTTTAATTTACAGCTTATATTTATTCATCAATTACAGCAATTCATTTTAGACCAAATTTTTGGCAAGCTGAATCAGCTTTTTCTTTACTAGTTTACAGTGACCTCAGGTTTTTCCCGTTTTCAGGATAATTGCTTCAATGACTGCAGGGTAATGCACTCTTAGACTTTTCTCTCATTATAGGATTTCATTTTCCAGATTATCCTTCCAGGAGATTATTTAAACAGTGAATATCTTTATAACCCTTTATTTTAACAAGTGCAGATAGTAAAGGACCTGTTACAAGTAGCAATAAAATAGTTAACAAAATATTTATTCATACTACACAATGATATTTACACTCAGCTGTGTCTATAGCTAAACAAAGAAGCAAAATAATTTAATGCTGACAAAATTATTCAAGTGTTTTAACTACTATCATAGTTGCATAATACATCAGTTTTATGAAGAAGAATATTGTATTATTGCGGTTTCTTGTAACTATAAAACCTGGTCATGTTACATCAGATCATCTGTCTTCCTACAAAGTCAATTTAATGTACTGGGCAAAGTAAATTACCGTGCAAAATTGGTAATTTGAGTGAAATTTCCCTCTTTGAGCTCTTAAAGCTGAGCTATTGGTGCTTATCTTCAAAATATAACCAGCATATATTTACACTTTGAAAGAGAAATGTACATTTTAACTTCATTTCAAGTACCCATTTCCTCATTGCATCGCTTGTTTGGATTTTTGATGCTAGAAGCACAGCTATAACCTGCTTGAGTTTGGCTTAGCCACAGAGCTTGTCAGACAGTGGTGCTTCAGTTTTGCCAATTCTTTTTTCCACCAGAACCTTTCATTTGTGTCCTTTTCCTGCAGTTTCCCTGACATTGGGCCTGCCAGTCTGACTGAACCCCATGAGCAGGCCCAGCCCTTCCCCAGGCAGCATTTCGTCTCAGATTTACCAGCTGGGGCTGTGCTAGTGTTGCTTTTTGCACAACAAGAGACAAGCAGGATAGACGGACCACTAGTTACGGGCATGATTTGGTGGGCAATAGCATCCTCACACATTATCATCATTTTGTTGCACGGGAAGCTGAAATCCATGCTGTCCCAGCTAAACTGGTAAACAGGGAGATATTAGAAGCAGCTTATTAAAAGCTTGGAGTCACAAGATAACAGGTTTTGGTTACCCAGAGGTTCTGTGTGTAATTTAGTCTCTGTTGTAGCAAAGATGCAAGCTGAAAAATAGGGCTCAGTGCTTCCAAAGTAAAGTTAATAACTGCAGTTCTTGTGTTTTTGTACCCGAATCCAAGTAATTCAGATTCATCATTGCTTCTCCATGTCCCAATTCCTGGTTTTCTGAAGAGGACTTTACTTCCAATAATATTTCTTCCTTCTCTTTTTCCCCCTCTTTTCTTAAAGCACAGCATAAAGGCCAAAAGGCAGTACATATACAGGTGATACAATAAAGCTTCTGAAATATGTTACCACATGTAACCAGTCACTATCTAAATCCACTCACTATCTGTGATAGCATTTTGTTACAAGAAACTAATATGTAAAGTATCGGAAGACATCAGCTGTATACCAAGAACTGAATGGGAATTGCAAAACACTTTTAATCATCAGTTTAATATCAAAATACTTGTAGGATCCTGTGACTACATAGGACTTCATTGACATGAGAGACTAGAGGTACAGCAGTCATTTCACAGGACTGCTTTCAGTCATCAAGCAGTATGGCCTCACTCACAGTTTGCGCAGAATAAAAATAAAGCCTAAATGAATTATATTTTGAAGGAAGAATACTAACAATTCTGCTATTTTTCTCCACAAGAACATGTGTAACAATGGCCATAGGGAGGTATCCAGTAGTTTGATGCTGAAGAGCTGAGGAAATGAAATTTGAGGAGGAGGAAAAATGAAAACTGTTAGTGAACTGAGTTTGAAATATACCAAGGTAACTACTCTGCTTTTAAGTTTCTATGAAAGGCAAGAGACAAGCTGGCTTTGAAATGCTGGAGGCTCTGTCTTGCAGTATCCTGTGCCAGCCTGTATTTAGTGTACTCCTGCTAGGCAACAAGTCCCAAGTTCTCCACTCCATCCTGTAGTACGTGCTTTAGTACTGGCTTTCAAAATGAGAGTCAGCTGTAAAGCTCTGGTCTCGCAGCCCTTACATAAAAACTCTCACTGGCTTTGAGACGTGCCATAGGGAGCATCCACTGCTTGGCACACCGGATCTGTAGGACGGATTTTTCATTATAGGCTTTAGAAAGTTTGCAAAGTGATCGAATGCCTGCACATTGTTCTAAAATGCTTTGTTCTAAGGATGAACATTCACTTTCTGCTGACTGACTGAAAGGTTGTCCAGGCTGTGTCTGAAGCTGTGCAGCTGCTATTAGATCTCAGAAGCTGAACTGCACTCAGCCAGCGAACTGATGAGCAAGGCTGTTTCATCCACATCACAAGGAACACAAACCCAGGCACCGCTCCATTTAGTTCCTTCTTCTAATTTTTATCTTTTTGAAGTAAAGGAAATAAAAAGAAAGGAAACAATGGAGCCAGGACTGGGATGGCCAGCTACAAGTATGACTTTATCAGTGCTCTTATTTTAAGGGCCTTGAGCTGCACCAAGACTCAAAAATGCTTGATAAACAGAAACTGGAGACTGAGGATGAGGTTTGACTGAAAAAGGACAGGGAAGAGAAGAATCTATAAATGTTTTCCAGATATTTTGGACTGGTACATGTTGATGCTGCTTCACTCCTTCAGTGGAGCAGTACCAAGTGAGAGCAGCAGGGCACCAGGCCCTACCGTTCAGTTTATATTTGGAAAACGGAGGACTTGCTTTGCCCGTTACTGAAAAACATGTTTTCTCTGTGCTGAAGCACAGCAGTTGTTTAACAGCTTACACTCTTTAGCAACTGTTGTCAAACAATAAAAAAAATATTTCATCCAAATAAAATGAAAGAGGAGTTTTAAACAGCAAAGTGGAGTAATTCACATTGGAAACTGGCAAGGGTCCCACAGCTAAACCTTCACTTAATGAAAAATCCATGCAACCTTTCTGGAATGCTTGAACCCTATTTTATAGTAGGGCCTACCTCAAAGTCTGTGGAATTCTTTCTAAACTTAAACACATACTCACCAATTATTCTTTCTTTCCAATTATTTCCTGGAGGAAAAAAAATAAAGCACACATTTTTGTAAGTCCTGATTTAAACCACAGTTTGTTATAATCAGTATATATTCAGGTCCTGGTTGCCCAAATTTAATTAAGCTATAGGACCACTTGTTTGAGCAGGTAACAGCTCACTTACGATGGGCATAAAAGAGGTATTTTGTGTATGCCAGTGGCTGAAAAGCTCAGAGTGTATTTGTTTTCCTCTGGCGAAGAACTGCTTTGTTTTTATGACTCAGGGCTAAACTATCCAGGAAGTCAGAAAGCAGTACTTTAGGGCATGCGTTTGCAACACACCAGTCCTAACCTGGTGGCATTGATTTTATTGGGAATAATGACATAGTAACAAAGTGTAACACACTGCCCTTAAGTATCTGAGATGTTGTGATAAGACCCTTGGACGCTCAAAATCTAAGAATCTCATTGCAGTATGGCTCTCCACGTTGTGCCTTGTTGTTTCTAAATTCGAGTATACTCTATTCAAAGGCTCAGAGGTCTGCCAGGTTGTCTTGTTGCCCTTGGGATACATTGAACTCTTAAACCTGACACAGTTTCAGAGACAATGTCCTTTTTGAGCTTCATTTTCACTACATGAAAATTCAGATAAGCCCAAATGTTTTTAGTCTTAGCAGCATTTTAGATTTTACACACTCAGAAGAATTTTCTGCTGTGTAAAAAGTGGAAGAATGATAATTCATAAATCCAACACATCCACACATGCTTTTAACATGGAGGCTTAAGTATGGGCATGCTCTAAAGATTCAATTCAGACCTTCTAAATACCTAAGGGGTTTTCTCCAGAAGGATTTAGAAGCTACAGCTCCGTACAAAACTTTGAAACAAAGCAATCTGAAACAGCAACGTCAGCACTTTAAAACAACTCATCAGACTGATATAATACTTCTTCCTGAAACATTTATCAGACTACAACACAAGCCACAGGCAAAGCTCTGTCCTGAACCTAATAGTGCATTGCGTTTGGAGGGCCAAGTCATATCAATTCTGTAGTCCCTGGATGATACTGATGTGGCTAGCACCATAGTTAGCTGGTTTTATTTTTTCTACTCAAATATAAAGGCTCAGTTTTGTGGCCTGGGAATCAACTTCAGTGCAAGGCTTGAAAGCAGATCTCTGGGTTCATAATGAGTTACTATCCTTGCTCTGTCTTCTGCATCTTCATGTTATGGTATATTAGGTTTATCTACTTTTTCTGCTAACAAATCGGTGTTACAGCACTTATGGCACATTATGAAAAGGTAGGTTTTTTTCAGAATTAAGTTTCTATAAATACAAATCAGTAACAGGAAAAGTCAAATCCTCCATCAGTAACTTCAAATCACGCCTTCTATGTATTGACATGCAAACAACAGAAGGGATCTCTCCTTCCTCTTCTTACTACAAAATTTCTAAATTCCTCTATTAAGTGCATGACGTTGGTGCCACTTACCAAAACTCAGTTGTCTTGAAAGATGTGTCAAGGCTGAAGAAAGGTGACACAGCAGCATCTTGGGACAAAAGAACTGTGAAATTTAAATGGAAAATCCCGTAACTGATTGAAGGTTACATTCTGTCCCCATATGCCCGCATATTGCTCTTATTAGCATCTACAAGAGCTGTGGATATACATCCAAGGATGGATTTTGGTCCTCAGATGTGACTTAGCGCAATATTGTGTGTTGAATATAAAGAAAGTCTGTACTTACAAACTAAAATTATCAGCAACAAAGTGGCAGACAATCCTCCCAGAAAATATCTGAGAACATAACAATACCCATTAAGGTTAGAAAACACCTAGGGATGCGTATTGGGTTAACAGAGGTGGGAAGAGGAGAGAAGGTTCTTGCAGATGAACCCTCTGGCAGGTGAACTGTAGTTTGAAACTTTAAATTACTCAAGCTATTGAGGCTAATCTACAAATAAAGACCTCACCATTCCTAAACTGAAGGAATCACCCACATTGGTCTCTTAAAAAGACATGAATCCCTTCTGATTATTCTCAGCCTTTCAAAGCTCCTGTCCAAACACAGTTGACAAAGTAGTTCTCGTATCTGTGTACATATTTCTTATTTTTGTTGATATCTATATAGCTTAGGTATTTGCCTCCATCAACTATAATGTGAAAATACATTTCCACTATAAGATGTATCTAACTTTGAAAATGTGTCCCTCAATTCACCAGTTGAAATGGAGTTAGCATTAATATCAGAAACAACAAATAACAGAAATAAAAATTACCTTGTACATATTGAAATGATTAAACACGTGATCAGTGCAACCATCTGAGAAAGGACATTTCTCACTGTGCTGGATTCTAAAACAAAAATCAGGAAAATTATTTTTGTGAGTTTTCAGGAAAGTAAATATATGACAAGAGGTGTTTGCAAAGACTACGTTCAGCCTGTGAGGCCAATCTCTTCAGTTTCTTTCTAAGAGAATTCGTCTAGAGTGATTCAAAGCGGAAACCTAATTTTCATGCTCTGGGTGTCTCTCAGGAGCCTTTTTCCCCCACAGCCATAGAGCACTGTACCCTACATGCTCTCAGAAAACAAGCCTTTCTGAATAATTGCCTGTCTCTGTTTCTGTTCCCATGCCCTTTCCTCCATTTTCCTCTTCACTCCACTTTTTTTCTTTTTTTCCATTTATCACTAAAAATAGGAGAGTAAAACATGTGAGCAGGGAGACATGAACAAATAAATAGCAGTTTTAAGATTTTAATATTTTCATGTTTCTTTTATGTTTCTTGAAATAAATTCTATTTTACAAGGGGCCATATCAACATTTTTAATGTATTTTCAGTTCACTCTAAAAATGAGGCATATCAGGATAAGACTGTAACATACCTGCATCGCTCAAAGTCTTTTGATTTGCATTCATCATAAATGGAGAGCAGGATTGTGAAGCACAAGCACAAAATGATTCCCAAGGCTGGATAAAGCCCTCATCTTTGATGAGAGAGGCTCCATTAGATGCTGGAGTTTGCTTTTGTGGCACATAGCTATTATATTCAGAAGAAAAGTCTGAATCACCTGTAATAAGTGCATATGTAACTGAGACTGCACAAAATAAGAGCTTTGGGACTATGTGTTAATGGATTTTATGAGGGGAAAAACTAATTACTTAATCACAGGAAGGGTTTCAAATTGTCAGGGATAGAGAATTGGCAGGTTTGATGGAAATTATGCAGGTGAAAATATGCATAGTAAAGACAGAATTGCATAGAGTGTAACACAATAAAGTTATTAAAACAGCCAGATTAAAGCAGACAGAGCCAGTTATTAATGGCACCAGCATCATCATCATCATCACTGCTGATGACTTTGGATTCAAATTCAATCTAAAAATGACTTTTTGGCACAAAACCATACTGTGTTTTTACACCAGAAGCTCAACTCACCACTGTTGTTCATCTATCCTTTACCTGCACATTTTGGCAGATAACCGCTGAAAAACCTATAGAAACAAACACTCAAGTCCCACTAAATACAAACTGTAATGATGTAGCTTGATTACTTGGTACCTGGTCAGGTCTTACCATTGTCACTCTGAGTGATTTCTAGTTTATCGCAGCCATCAGGCCAAGGATCATCTACGTGGGAGGAATCCACATTGGTGAGGACAGTGCTGCTGAGCCATGAACTAGAGGCACTAAGATTGAACAAGCTGTGAAGAGAGCGACGGATTTTCCTCCTTCGCCTGAATACGCTGGAAAGAAAAGACAAGTTGTCAAGGAACAGAGTTAATTCTTCTTCTTGAGCAGAGACAGAGCTCTGAAGTTTGCAGGACTGACATGAAAGAAGCAGATTCTGGGTGCTGTTCCTAGTCCTGTTCTTGACCCTGGATATGTCACCAAGAATGGCTGCTGCCCACTGCAACAGTGTCAGGGAATGTATTAGCACAGCGATATATCCTGCTTTGTGATACTGTACATTGTGATACCAAATGATTCTACAGTTACTTGGCTCTGATACTAGCGTGAGTGGTCTCATGCTACCCATGAGTTTCACCCTACCATATCCCATTTAGTGCAGTCTGAATCCACTGTACTTCAACATTTTTGAACTACATTTTATATACTTTCTTAAATTGATGTTCTTCTGAAATCAAGAGAGATTTTTCCCTGAGTAAGAATACCAAGGTCAGACCTTTTAATTTATATATACATATATACGAGTAATACGTGTATTTATATGTTTTTCTTATTCCTTATTGTGGTAACACCACATTGGCAAAATGAACTGTAGCTCTCCGTTTTCTTTATTGGACACAACTACAGCAGCAACTGTGTACTGAAGAGGTTTTGGGTAGTACGATTAGACATGACTGAAAATCAAGCGATTTCGACCACTGCACTCCCTAAACTAAGTCAATTGAGAAGTTCCCACCAAGAAGCAATGCTGATCTGTTGACAGCCACACAGATACCTCCAGGTAAGTCTGGAGATGTGGAGACAATTGCCAACATTGAGTAAAATCTCCATATAGTTCACTTACCGAACTAAATTCTCTTTATATGTAACATTTGTCCGGGATGGTGTCAGTGTTATGTTACCTTCTTCATCAGACAGAAAACTGTCTTCTGTCAAAACGTAATAACCGTTAGAAAGCAGTCGAGGGCTGCGGCGACACGTGGAAAGAGAGCCTGTCAGAGGACTTGTGGAACAACACTCATAGGCATGGTCATCATCCAAAAAGGCACAAGCATAACTGAAAAAGAGAAACGAAACCCTCTAATTTAGTGAATGTCTAGACAGTGCAAACCTCTGATTTAATAATAATGTATTTACGTTATCAGCTGATGGGGGCTAGTAATGACATAGATTTAAAATATATGTATACAGTGATACTACTTCTGGACCTAGGGGGTTTCGGCCAGCTACAGTGTGCCTCCATCACTTTCCAGAGCTTCAGATTACAGGAGGGGTTCATGCCAGGTGAAGATTTCATGAATGCATGGAACCATCTTGAATTGAGAAGTGCATGGTGTGTTTCTGTGGCAGTGCTCTTGGCCAAGGAGTCCTGCCAGATCTACACCTACATGGAGCTCCTACATGGAGATGTTCCAGTATTTTGCTTCTCTGAGTTATTCTGCATGGCACAAGCCTGACTGCATCTGAATCAAGCAGGATTTATCTGTTTTCTATAAGCTAGCCATAATTAACAAAGAGTTAAGGGTACATGACTAAATTCTCACCAATCCTAGAATACCATGCAGCTAGAACAACATGGGATAAATTCTACACATGGTGATAACTTCATGCAGCGCTGAAATATGATGGACTTGGAGATGAACTATAGAACAGAAAAATATACTATGCTGTATTTAAAATAGAATTGAGTAGTGACAGAGGTGAAAGAATCTAAATGTTGTAGACATTTTACTTAGTTCAAGTAAAATTGGATTTATGGTGAGCCCTTTCTCCTCAACAACTTTGAGTTCCAAGTAGCCATGCAGTGACATCCATGGAAAGAAAGGAAGACATTGGTCTGATTCAGGGGCTGACGTGCATTTCAGTATCAGGTGTAACTGTCCCATATGGCATGTCACAGAGGGATAGCACCATTTCAGTGGAGGCAAAAGCAGGTGGAACAGAGATAATCCATAATCTTGTAATTGCAAAGCCAGTGCCTCCAATTTCGACAGTATTACTTCTGAACTTCCATTTCAAGCAGTAAGTAAATTAGTATCAGCACTACAATTTTAAGTGGCTCAAGAGGGATTTTACAGAATCTCCAACAAAACAAAACCAAAATTAAACAAGTATACATTTCCTCAGTACCTTGGAGAAATATGTTGTGAGAGGCTGTGTCTACGTTCTCCATTAAACACTGTTGAACCTGCAGAAGCAAAGGCCAAATAAGGAGTCTTTATCTTATCCATTGACAGCTCAAACAGCTGAGACATCTTCACTGACAGGTACCTTGTGTATATCAAAAAGATCATAAAAGGAGCTAAAAGAGAAAAGGAAATTAAGGGAGAGATTAAAGGAGATAAAACAGATGAAAGAATGGAGGAAAGATGTAGTGTTTATAGGAAACTCATCTCAGCCAGGACAACATGGAATCAGAGTCAATCACAATCAGATACTTGGACTTTGTGCAGGTAACAAGCTTCAGAGAAATAATTACGGACACAAATGCAATAGCCACAGTAATGTTAACGGTGTTTTCCCAGAGATCTGCTTCATGCCAAAAATAGTAAATGTACTGGCAAAAGATACAGAGTTGAATGGAAGGGCCACCATCATCATTACAATACATTTTTCGGATGAAAATTGCAGACATGGCACAACAGGCATAGGGATAGTGACAGTGACAAAGATTTCACAACAATATTGTGGCAGGAGATCAAGGAAATAGGATTTGTCTGGATTACTGTGGCTCAAGAATGCATCTGACTGAATCAGTCTTATGAAATATGAGCAATGGCTATCCATAGGGAGAATTGATATCTGTTATTACATGGAGAGACAAAAGATATGATCTTCCCTATATGACCTTGCCTCTCCTGTATCTTTAGAGCATCATACTTACAACACTGTTAGTAAATGCCTGTCATTCACCTACGAGAGGAGACAGGTCTAAAAGATTTTTCTTTATGTTCATTTAAGAGCTGAGGCAAAGAAAAGACATGAAGGTCAGTGTTTCAACTTTGGTAATCTTATTTATCGTCATTTGGAGCTCAGTTGTCAGTCACAGCCTGGTTGTGAAGGTCTGACTGAGCCTTGGGACCAGGCAAGGACACTAAGAAGTAAAACATTCTAGGGTAATTTTTTTAAATCAGCCCAATTATCCTACTGTCACGCATACTGTTGCTTCTATGCTTAAAAAAACCCCAGCAAACAAAAAACCCCAACAAACAGAAGTCCATCTTTCACTTTACAATTAGAAAATATTGCTCTAACCCTGGGAAAAACAACTTGAGGAGAAGACAACTGGAAGAGACTTGGTGGAGCTACAAAGAGATCAAGTAGCATCCATCAGAATGCCATACATCAAGTTTTGCGAGAAGTGAGAGTGGTGGTGTTGTTCATAGACTGACATGCTGTAGACCTATTTTTTTCGTATTCAGTTAGGTCTTGAAATTATTTCTTTATTTTAGGCAAAATTATTATATTTAATTATGCAAAAATATAATACTCAAACCCAATACATTAATTCAAATTCTAAAGGAAAAACAGAGGAAGAACTCAACAGGTGATTAGTGGATCTGAATATTAACTAAAACCTACAAAATCTCGAATCTTATCAAACAAAATCCCCTCCAGCTCTGACGAATGTGCACAAATTTACCTGCTACTGGTGTTGATGCAACATGTGATATTCCATGCATCTTTAAAAGGACTTTCTCATACACCCTGGGATAACAGGTAATATGGGTCATCTGTAAAAGTTTAAAAAGAAACAGAAGTATGTTTTATTTTGTCTTGTTTCAAAATTGGGATGAGAAAGATAGTGTCATCACTCTATATCACATTATTAGTTATAACACAGGTGAAAGTGATTGACTGTAGAGCAGATTTGTTTGAAAAGGGATATAGAAGTATACCTCAGCAATTATATCTACTAAAATTCTTTAATAATCTGAAAGTGACACTTTCCAGCAACTGAAACCCATAAAGCAGTTGTATGGCATGTGATTTTCTCCGTTATGACAATACAAAGTATTAACCACTAAAAACCAGTAACTTTTAAGAAAAGTAGTTTACATATGGGTAGTGCTTTCACTAGAAAGTGTTGACACATACTGAGCAGAGTGGCAGGCCAAACCACAGTCCTTCCGTTACTGATTTGCATTGTCTCATAAATTTGCAATGCCTGTCTCTGCAGGACACTTGTTTAACTGCCACCTTCCACAGAAGTGAAATTAAGGTAAAACAGAGTATGGACATAAATTTGTAACAGAAAGTGAGAGATATACATAGAGAAAAATAAAACTGGGGAGGTGATGAATTTATCTGTTTTTAAGAACAGTTAATAAGTGGTTGTAATTGGCTTTCAGACTATTTTAAGTAATGATAATATCAAGTTTCTGTAAAGAGTCGTAGAACAGGCAGTCCAAAGGCTTTTTTTGCTACCCTTGATCATGAAAATTTTTGTCTCTTGTGGTGATGAAGAGGGTTCTGAAAATCATTTCAATCAACACTGGCGAAAGCACGAAAACGTCGTGTTGTAGACAATGCGGTACAGTGTTTTGCTTTCATTTAATATTCAGTCCCATTTCTGGGCTATTAATAGCATGAAAAGCTATAGTAACAATATAAGCAAGCCAAAACAAAACTTCTCAACCACCACTGTACAATGAAGCAGTAGGGTTATATCTGTAACCCACAAAATAAGCATCAATACAGAGCCTTTAAGCTATGACATGAGAAAAGGTCAACAGCTTTAAGAAATCTCACTTAAAGTGAATCTGAGGTGAACATAGCAATATTTTATGTCAAGAATTCAAATAAACTTTTAATGGAGCAACCCACTTCAATTTCAAAACACCCAAAACCCCATGTTGTAATAGGAACAAAAATTCACTGTCCAAAATAGTCACTCCTAATCACCTTTCCCTCCAAAAATCAAATTAATCTTTAAGCCAATGATGCCCTCCATTGGTAGCCAGCAATCCTCTGTTCACGTTTATATTCTAAATATTTACATTAATATGTACTAAAGTATAGTGCTATTAAAACAGCTGAAGCCCAGGCAACCAGTTTTATTCTGTTGTACATACCAAACACAAGTGTCTACAAAGATAGTTTGAATTTTTCACACATAGCAGTCATTTTTGAAGCGCAGTCTAGTCTTTTCTCCCTGGTATTGATAACAACATTCACAAAAATACAAAACTTCCCGAAGAGCAGTACAGAAATTAATCCAAAGTTTAGTTATTCCTCAAATATATTAAGAGATAAAGATGTGTAAAATCTTCCAAACCTGGAAAATCCGTTTCACTATTAACACACGTGTGCAAGAAAGTTTCTCATAATCAGCACGAGAGCCTCTGAGCAGTGAAGTGGAGGGTGCTCCTTCTGCAGGTTCCTGGAGGAGATTGGCCCTGGGAATTCGGAAAGGCAGGTCCACAAAGTCCCCTGTTTCCTTTTGAAAACAGCCGGTGCAATCAGCGGCACAGAGGCAGAATGAGGTCACGCTTCCTGTAATGCAGCCTCCCATCAGCAGCATTCATTTTGAAAAGCAAACTGAAGATTAAGATTAGCCCAGTGAACGCTTTCATAGGCTGTTGTGAAAGAGAAGACAGATACACTATAAATAACATTTTGCTCCAATGGAGATATGCAGAACAAAGACACGATCTTTTCTCATAAAGAAAAGTGACACAGATTTTTGTTTCAGCTTTACTTTTCTACCTCACTCAGAAAACTTTAAAGTGGTGTATCCAAATCACTCCATTTGTTGAAATACTTGTGAGCCTGATGGGCTTTGATGTAGGAAAACGATCCAGCTACAAAAACAATAAAAAATAAAAAACCTGTGTGTAATAACAAGACATTTTGCAAAAGCACTGTTATACAGAAGGTACATTTGGTGAGAGTTCAGAGTTGTTTAAGTTTCACAGTCAAAAACATTATTTCAAATATAGATCATGCCATGTTAGCATAAATTCCTTTGAAAGGAGAAAGGAATAAAGCCATTTACAAACATATTCACTGTTCCACTCTTTATGTTTCATACTATGTAAGGTAGCAATTTGTCATACCTTAAAGTATACAAAAATCAAGTTGAAACCACATAAGAGAAATGGAGCCTGAATAAGATGTCCTGGTAATCAGAATGATTTGGCTGTAGAACTATTACACACAAAAGTAATATAAATCATCTGCTTGACACTAAAGAATTACACAGCCTTAGGGAGCAAAACTTCATCTCCAGACAAATAGATAGAATATGCTACTTGGTACCTCTCCTGATGTCTGTATGTATCACTGACAAAAAGAAAGCATAAATCAAGTAAAATATGATTGATTTGATTTAATGATTTTTTTTTTCCCATGGAGAAGAAAAAATACTTCCACTGATAACAAGGGAATATAAAATTCTCACTTCACAGAAAAAGAAACAAAAATAGGAGTTAGGTAATTAGGATGTTACAAAAAAGCTTCTGTTCAGGAGCTAAACTAAAATGAATGTTTTAAGGTCTTTTTGCTCAAATGTGAAAACTCAGGGCCATGTTTGTTCTTAACATAATTTCTTTTAAATTAGTGGTATTACACCAAGGAAGAAATCTAGTCCAACGCTATTTCCATGGATGCATGGGCTTCATCACAGTAGGATTTCTCAGGCCACCCTGTCTCTCTACAGGCAATGGACATAAATTCCCAATGGTCTTTTAAACGAGGTCACCTATTGAAGATTTTTCTATACATACATTGATTCACAGCACAGGTTACTTCTTGGAGTATTTTTGGTTTCTTTTCATATTCTTCTTAGCAGGAAGCAGTTAATTCTGAGCTTGGGCTGCTCTTTTGAAGGACAGTATATTTTCATGTTTGTCTATAAAGTTAAAATATATTATTTCTCTATCATAGTTAGACTTAAAGGTGTTTTCTTTTTTACCATTCATATGTGAAACTCCGAAACATATACAGCTTTTTTTTGTTGCTCTTCAAACTGCCCACCCCACCCTGAGCCCCACCTCAACTGTCAGATTTCAAATTCTGGGAAGTGAACACACCAACGAGCTTGCTGCGCAGTCGTCTTACACCTGTTGCATACAAGTTCAACCCACAAAAGGAAGGAAATGAGAAATCACAATACTAAATACCACAGATCTTCCTACTCTTCTCCCAGGCTTACTCTACTTTTGACAGCACTACACATAAAGAAGTAAGCACACTGCTGGGGGAAAACATATTGTGCTGGTCCTGACAGTCCAAGAGAGGTGAGGCTGGGGCAGCTTCATACCTGAGGTCCCACCAGCACCGAGCCTGAGCAAGTACACCTGGTAGCACATGTATACACCATATATTTACATACATAGACAGCTGTTAACACAAACACAGACATACAGAGCACTCAGACAGACAGCATTCTTCTCACCTCTCTGGTTGAACAGGATGGAGGTCCACTAGTGAGAATATACAGATATATCTACACCTGCACAAGCTGGATCCCTCCAGCAGCTCGGTTCCGACACTCAGTCTGCCCAGTAGCTGCCCCTAGATCCCAGTCCCCACAGCTACTGGCACTTGGACATAGGAGCCCTCAGAGCCACAGCCACACCCCAGTTGCTGGTACAGACCATCACACACTCACATACAGCTGGCTGGGACACCTCTGGTCCTCAGCAGCCCATAATGTGCCTCACGTCCCCAGGCAGCAATCCTCCCCAGTCCCAAAGGTGCTCTGGTGTTGACCCATCTGGGCGGGTTTCAGGCCTGGACATAGGGGCTGGGCTCCTCTGGGACAGCCCTGGGAGAGGTCCAGTCAGGGTGTTCCTTCTTCTGAGTCCTTAATTTGGGTTCCCACCTGCCTTTGAGTCCATGTGCTCCTCTGGGCTGGTGCAGGGAGGCCTTTGATGGGCTGATGACTCCTGGGATGGGTCTGGGAGCCTTCCTGCAGGGTGTTTTATGGGCTCCCTCTTCTATCCTTGTCTCTCTGTGCTCCTTTGTGAGTGTGCAGGTGGGCTTTTAGCAAGTATTACACCGTAATTCTGCCATCACCACTGCAACTCAGTGCAGTGCACTATTATGCTAAACACACAATTTTCAGAAAGGATATTTTGCCTAGTAGAATGAATTGATTGGCAATGGTGGAAGGAGTAGAGTGCTTATTGATTGAATGCAATCAAGAGCAATTTGATGCTTCTGTAACTCTCTTAAAGGTCCTGGAAAGCTCACAGTATTTAGCTTTTCCATGAGCTTCAGTGGCCTTCAAATCAGGCCATTTGTCCCATGCCATAGTTCTTTGCTAATGTCGTTCATATAGTACTCCACAAGTAAAAAGTATTCTGTGATATCTGAAAATTAACGGAAATATTAAAAAACCAGCAGGGAAAGGGCTGGCCATAAGAACATCAGAGCAGCCACACTGGGTCAAACTGAAGGTCTATGAAACTCTTCCTGCCTGCAGTCTTGCTGCAGGGAAAACTAAGAGTCACTTTAATTGGCCTTTGTGAATAATAACATTTCAAGTTAAGTGCATTCCTTTATGCAGCAGAACCACTTAGCAATGTTTGAGGTACCCTGGTAATTAAAAAAAATTCTCACAAAGCCAGGCATTTTATTTCAATTTTAAGAGAAGGCTGATCCTGCATAAAAATAGCATTTCATTGTACTTTACACAACTGACAAATCATATACAATTCTAATAACCTTATCCAGTCAGTTGTATGAACAAAGATTAATTTGCTTTAAAAGATGAAAAAACTCATTTAAGTGTTATCAGATGGAAATCTCACTCCACCTTAACAGAGACTTTCTTAGTTTCAGGCTTGATTTTTTTCCCAGATTCATTAGTTTAGCTTATTTGCTCCTGCAGTAAAGGTAACAAAGGACATTTCTGTTTTGCATGGTGAAGTGCAATGCATAGACCTGTAGAACTCAGAATTGGCTCTAAGCTTGCTGATACATCCACACTGCTGGGATCTCAACAACAGCTTACCTGCAATGTTGGTTACATCTGTATCTACCTACACATGCTGTCCAGATAGAAATAGAGGTGTTTAGAAAGGATCTGAATCAAGCAAACCTGCAACACACAATGATACTTCTCTGTGCAAAGCCATGACCAGCCTGTGTTGCATGTCCCTGCTCTTTGATTAAATGGTGTTGGAATGAAATTTGGTTGTTTTATAACTTGATGTAGACATGGCAATGTGCTTGAGAGGAATTTTGTACAACATCCCATCAATATGTAAGAACAGTGGAAACACATACACAGGGAAAAGAAGTGCTGCTATTAGAATCTGTAACTCCCCCACCTTTCATCCAAAAATATTGCTCCTTTAATAACTGTTTTAGCAGAGAAAGAAAACAAAAGGAAGAGGCTAACACTCAAATCCAACAGTCAAGGCAGCATTTAGTTGAGGTCTCTAATAGAAATAGTGGGTCCAAGGTAGGAGTTCTTTTTAAAATTTCTCACAAGAAGATCCAACTGTTACTGAACAAGAAGATAGAAACAATAAGAAAGGCAACAAACATACCAGTGTTAAAAGCTGGCTGACTTAATTTTATTAAGGATTACAAAAGTTCATGAATTAGCACTCTACAGTGTCTGCAGTGACCAGAAGTGTGTGTTCATGGTGCCTGGACCAGAAGGTCATCAAGCTCCCAGCACAAATCTACATGCAGCATCTCAGGACACCCAGTCTGAGAGGGAAAGGACAGGGACTACACTAGGTGGGACAGTATAGGGAGATTCGTCACTCTCAGGTCTAAAGGGTACAAAACCGCAGATCCAAACACAGCACAAAATGACCAACCGAGGAAGATCCTATGCGATGTAGTGAAGACTTAACCGCCCACATTCCTTGTCTTCTGTGTCACCACAGGTAATGCTGAACAGACCACCTGAACAGCAGCATCTTGGTGGCTGAAAGCTGAACAGGCCACCTGGATACACACAGCTTTAAGGTACCACCTAGGTGCCCTATCTAGACAGCTGAAATCTGAATCTTTAGTTGGGAGTTTCCTTGCTACCTTATAAGCCCCCAAAATGGAAATTAATGCTGCTCTGGAGGTGATGACGTACTGACGTGTACCTGTGACCATGGATGGTTTCTGTGACAGTCCTGATGTGATCTGCATGGACCAGTGGTGGAGAGTCTTGTACTGATGTGCAGTGAAGGCTTCTGGCCAACATATAAGTCTAAAAGATCATAGTACTCTATATGCATACTGAAAATCTGTAATTGAGAACGTGTTGGTACTGCTGGTTCCTGAGACAACGGTACTGGCAAAACAGCAAAGACACTGATGTCATGGTCATTTCTATAATTCATACTGATAAATGCATAAATGAAGACAAATAACAACTGACAGTGATACTTTAATAACATTTGTTAAAATGCCTGCCTTCCATACTGTTTTACACAGCACCCTTATTAGTTGTGTCTCTATCTGTATGTAAATAACCACTGTAGTCTGACAGTGACTGAGTTCTTTTCTGCTTGTATGCCAGTATTCAATAAAAGTCTCAATTTCTGAAGCTTGTACTGAGAATATGCAGCCTTTCTGGAACCGTTTGCAATTTTTCCAGCTATGCCTGTGCCATACTGACTTGTTGCTTCTCCAGCTGGATTCAGACTGATGTCCTGGACTAATTCAATTGCTAGGAAGAGGAAAAGACACAGGCAGCCTTGGTATCCAGGGGAGGATCATGATACACTACAGGCAGAGTGGTTTTATGGCTTGGATGCCATCCAGCATTGCATAAAGATCAAGGATTTAAATGTGGCCTACAAGGCAACTGAGGACAGAGAGCAGAACTATGACAGCCTTCCAGAAACCTGCCCATGCGATGCCAGCACAGACCCAATGGCCAAGTATCAAGAAACAATTGACACTTCCCATTAAAAAAAGTGCTTTGCAAGCATTTTACAGGCAGGGGTGGAAATTCAGGGCTAATAATCTCTTAATCAATAACCATGCTTTAGCCCCCCTACACCCTAGTTTTCACAGGACCACAAAAGAGACATGAAAATATCACCTTAGTTTTACAAAGTGATTGGTATTGCCTGCTGGCAGATGTGATGTATTTTTCTCATTCTCATTGCTGGACTTCACCAGGCTGGACAGATGTGACTTTTGGAGTTCTGTTTTCCTTCAGTCCAAGTTGCAAATTCTCTCTACACATTAATATTGGCAATCTGACTACAAAATTGTCCTTGCTGCCTGTTTTGCAGTGATTTGCCAGTCAGTCTCTCCTATCTTCTTACAGTACTCCCCAACATCACTACAACTGCGATAAACATCCTGCTATGAGTGCTCAAATGTCAGCTCCAACACAGTCATTGTCTTGGCAGGATGTTCCTTCTGTCCCTTACCCACCCTGAGGTCAGCTCTCAAAAATGACAGACCATGACAAACTTACCACTGGGATACGTTTGTGAGCCAAGTGCTCTGTTGATCTACCAGAAAGTATGTTCTGAATTTCAGTCTCACAGGGAAATAATCCAGGAAATCAGTGCACAATCAAAGCAGGTATTAGTACATTTCTGTCAGTCCTGTTCTCATCAAGGACTTAAAAAAATCTTCAGTAAAATATTTACTGATGTGTTTCAAACTACAGATCCCTCCCTTGGACTGAAAACACAGTCCAAGACATAAGGCTACAATATGTAAGACAGAAGTAAGCAACACATTGCACACCACTGTTTCTGAGGCAAAAGCACGACCAAATCTCAAGAGGTCTAACATTGATTGCAAAACAATATTTATAGCACAGTGAATGTTGAGAATGCCCCCATGAAATATCAAATGGATACACAGAAAGTGGTTTAATCAGGCTATAACATGACACAGCAAAGCTGCCTTCATCCAGAACAGGTTCCCTGTCAGCCATGCAGAGCATCAGGAGGTACCACTCTGGCAAGAAGTAACTTCACCCACCTCCCAGGGTTTCCTTCAACCTCCATCAACAGGGTTTGCTCTTTCTTCTCTTTCTTTGCATGGATTGTGGCCTCTTTCACTAATGTTAGAACCATCTGCATAAATAAATCTTTGTTATCCACCTGGCCTTAGCAGGTCTCACTCCTTAGCATCCTCACCTTACTATACTTCACCCTTACGATAATGCTAGTAGGGAACTTTACTTCTGGTTTACAGCTTCATGTCACCTCTCCAGTGTGGAGTGAAATACAGTGCTGTGATTGCAATGTAGGGCTTTAAAAGGAAAAGAGAAGTGTTTGGTGAGATAGTGAAAGCCTTCACAAAAAGGAGGGAGGAATTTCTGGAGGGGAGGAAGTCTCTGGGATGAGAGAAGAAGGGTAGAGAAACTGAAGAGGAGGACATAGCAACTGATGTCAGACAGAGTGTCAAAATGGACAAAGGAAGTGGCAGGAAAGGGACAGATGATGACAGAGCAGAGCTAGGCTGTGACCAAGCCACCTACATAGATGGACACAGCGGGGCAGAGATGCTGCTGCATGTTTGCTCGGCTGAGGTGGTGAAGGTACCATTTAAATACAAGCACAAGTAGTTACTTTAAATATGTTTACCTTCTATAATAAGGGTAAAAACAAAGACAGAGTTTTATTCTGTTGACTATCACCTCATGATCACAATATCTGAGATTTAAAGTAGTTCTTTTATGGACTAATCCAATCACCCACAAAAAAAAAATAAATGGCAAAATAAACAAACTGATGTCTGGGTCTCTCACCATAATACAATTTTTCCCAGGTGTTGGTTCATTCTCTCAGATCTTTCATGAACCCTTCCAGTTTTTGGATGGCTTTTCTGAACAGTGAGTTATTTTAATAACAAGGTGCTGGCGCCAAGTGCAGCGATAATGTCACCTCTCTACTCCTACTCAGTATTTCCATGTGCATGTGCTCTGCAAAGGCTGCATTAGTCTTCTCAGCACCAACAGCGCACCATGAGCTCATGCTCAGCTGATTATGAAATCCTCTCTTCCCCCTCCAAGTCTGTGAGCCACTGGCTGGCAAGATAAAATCTTCTATCCAGTTTGGTCTCCAATTTATGGTCTGTATAATATCCACAATGCTAAAGACATGCTTCATGACAAGATTAAACACCAAATTCTGCGACGAGCAGAAGCAGTGAAATTTCCTTTCCTGCGATGTTCTGGTGTCTGAAGAAGAGCAAGCACTGAGCCTTTCTATCATGGAGAGGTTGGCTATGATAGAGGTTGATCACTGAGTCAACCCATTAACCATCTTCACTTTTCTAATAACATCGTGGTGCTGCATGTTCACTGCCACTCAGAGAGGTCTCATTGCCAACACAACGACCCTCACTAACCTGTAACAAGCCCTCTAAGCAAAAGCCTGTATCAAAATTACACTCAGGGTACCAACAGCTGGAGAATTCAAATGAACGCAATGGCAACTTTTTTACTAAAGAAAGAAAAAAACTTTTTTCCCTTTTTAACTTTGGGTTTTGTTTATTTGCTTTTGTTGTTATTGGCCTGTTTGTTTTGTTCTTCTCCAAGCATCCTTCAGTTTCTCCTGCTTGCCACCCCCATCCAGAAAATGGGAAGGGGGAAAATATCAGAGGAGGAATAAAAAATCCCGTAGCAAACAAATACTCCAAAATATCCCATTGTACAGTCTCTCTATAAAGACTCTTGAAGTGGGAGGCAGCTTCCCAGGGACTAACTGAAGCGGATGGGTTGGTCTCGGACAGCAGCCAAACACCCACACAGCCACTCACTCACTCCCCATGCAGTGGGATGGGGGAGAGATAGGAAGAAGAAAAGTGAGAATGTTTGTAGATCCAGATAAGGACAGTTTAATAAGTAAAGGAAGGCAAAAAAAACCGTAAACAAAAAACAACAAAACCCAAAAAAACCCCAAGCAATGCAAAGGCAATCACCACCTCCCACCAGCAGACCCATGCCCAGCAAGTTTCCCAGCAATGGCCTCCTTGGAAGACAAAAGCCCCACCACTCTTCTTCCTCTGCCCCAGGTTTTACTGCTGAGGTTGACATTTTACAGCATGGAATACTCCTTTGGCCAATTTGGGTCTACTGTTCTGGCTGTGTCCCCTCCCAGTTTCTTGCCCACCCCTCAGCCGACTTGCTGTGGGGGCAGAGTGAAAGAAAAAAAGTGAGCCTTATGCTGTGCAAGCATTGATCGGGAACAGCCAAGACGTTGCTGTGTTATCAACACTCTTTTAGCCACAAATCCAAAACACGGCACCATACGGACAGCTATGAAGAAAGTTAACTCCATGCCAGCCAGACCCAGTACAATCTCCACTCCTTGTTGCTTACTGTTCACAGCATACAGAGATCTTACACTCTCCAATACATCCCCATCAATCAGCACCCCCTCCTTGTCTTTTGACATGGACACAGACATAATCTTAGTTTGTCGGTCAAACCCCAAATGTCCATGGAAGTCCAATCAATCCATTGGTCCAGGACTTGTGCTCCACACAGCATGTGTGATGGTTTGATTCCTCCTCAACTGGACAGGGGGACATAAAATACGATGGAAGTTGAGGACAGGGAGATCACTCTGCAATTACTGTCATTGGTAAAAAACAGATTCGACTTGAAGAAATTAATTTAATTTATTGTCAATCAGAAGTCAGAGTAGAGTAATGAGAAATAAAACCAAATCTTAAAAGACCTTCACCCACCCCTCCCTTCTGCCCGGGCTCAACTTAACTCCTGATTTCTCTACCTCCTCTCCTCCTAAGCAGCACAGGAGGATGGGGAATGAATGGAGGCTGCAGTCAGTTCACATCACACATTGTCTCTGTCGTTCCGTCCTCCTCACACTCCTTCCCTTCCTCCAGCATGGGATCCCTACCATGGGAGAAGAGGAGGAAGGCCCCCACAAGACGGTTTCCAGAGTGGCAGTTCCCTGATGGCAGCCGTGTAGGGGCCAAATGCCAGACCTGGCTAAAGGCCAGCGCTTTTGCAAAACACAGAGATAAGTAGCACAGCAAAAGCAGCACAGCCATTAAGAAGCCCTAGAGTTTAATGAGCAGCAAGAAAGGGGGGCAAATAAATAGGGACCAGCAGGTAGCAGCTTAACAGCTGTAACAGCTGCAAATGCAGCCCGGCACACTCTGACCCGATCTGTCGCTATAGAAAGCCCCATGCTGGGTGCCCAAAGGGACAGCACTGGGTTGGCCCCATCACAGCCAGGCACTCACCCAGCCAGTGGCTCAGGAGAAAGCTGGAGAGAGACTTACAAGGGCACGGAGTGATAGGACAAGGGGTAACTGGAATGGGGTAGATTACATTGGACATTAGGGTGAAATTTTTCACTCTGAGGGTGGTGAGGCACTGGCACATGTTGCCCAGGGAAGTTGTAGATGCCCCCTCCCTGTAAGTGTTCAAGGCTGAGCAACCTGGTCTGGTGGGAGGTGTCCCTGCCCAGGGAGGACAGGAGGGCTGGACGGGATGATCTTTAAGGTCCCTCCCATCCCAAACCACTCTGTGATTCTAAAAGCCAGAAAATCCATGCGTGGTGACAGCG